CTATTTTTTTTAAAGGTTTTAGTAGTAAAATGAAGCATTCCAAAGAGAGGATAACAAAGCGAAACGCTTTTATCTTGTGGAATCAATCAGGACGTCTACCATACATCCAAAAATAATAAAAGGGCGCGGCTAATCCTTTTTGGTAATTCCCTGCCTGCAGCCCACCACCACAAACACTCACTCAATGACTCACCTTGTCGTTGAAGATGATGTACTCCGAGGGGTCGGAGCCGGAGAGGAGCAGTATCGCCCAAACCACCCGCACGGTACGGATGGGCGGCGATGCAACGAGAAGAACTTCTCTTGTCGTCGGGCTGAGCTGGGCTTCACTCCCAGACGACAAGCACTCCACGGGAGGACTTGCTGGCACTGCCTCGCACACCGTGCACTCGCACTCTCACATACACACACACGCGTACACACACTTGCACACTCGCGGCGGTCGTGAGCTGGTCGGGTGCTCCCCCTTGGTGTGCCTGGGCAGCGGGGCAATCGCGCCTCTACAAACGCCTCTCTCCTCGACTCCGGCTGGGCTCGGACTGACCACGCTCGCCGCGCTCACCGGCACAAAACCACCGCCCGGCCGGGAGGGAGGGAGCGCGGAGTGGCGCGGCGTGGCACGGCGGGCTGCGTGCGAACGGGCCGCCGGCGAGGCGACTCCGTCGTCGTCGTCGACGTGCACCTTCGGCGATATCGGGTCACCCCGCCTTCTCCTCCACCTCGCCCCGGATGCGGCCCGCCGCGACGGCGGCGCGCAGAGGTGCTGCCGAGCTGCCCCGCCAGCCCGCCCTTTCCCCTCCACTCCACTTCCCTCCTCCTCCCCTCTTTCTCTCCCCTTAACTCCTCCCCGACCAAAACAACTTCCCCTCCCCTCCCCCGCACCACCCCTTACACCTCTTTGCGTGTGGACTCCATTCCCCTACCCCCTCCGTCAGATGGCTTCTTCGTTATTCGACCGGAAAGAAGCGGGAACTCCAGGAGATACCCGTAGGCAACCCGGCGCGCCGCCCTGGAAGATTCCTCCTCCAAACTCTTAACGCTCTTAACCCCTGCTCTGCTGAGGCACCGAGTGTAGGAGGGAAGGGGCCGGCGAGATCAGGGAGCGCGGGGAAGAGGAGCCCTCGCCTCAAACCTCCATCTCTTCTGCCATCTTTTTCATTATTTCTCCGATCGTCTTTTTGCTGCGTTTCCAAAAGTGCCTCCCCTCCGGGCGCGGCCTGCCCTGCCCTGCCGTGCCAGGCCTTCCAGGCGAGCGACGCCACACCGATGGCTCCGCCGGACACTGGCACGGCCTGGCCTCCTGCACGGCCCGTCGGTGTTATGGCCTGTTGCGTCCCGAGCGACGCGACCCGCCCGCCTCTCCGTCTCCGTCGCGCCGGTGGCCGGCCCCCGGGGCCCGGGGGCCAACGGAGACGGAGGCACATCTTCCACCAACGTTTCCGAACGCAGACATTCGCTCGGGCTGCTGGAGAGGAGAGGAGCAGAGCGCTGCCATGGAATGTTGTTGCCCTGGCCATTGTCTTTTATTTTTGTTTTATTTTTATTATTCTTGTTCTTATATTTTTTCTGACGACTGAAATATCAATTTGCCTCCTGTTCTTATTTTGTTTTCCCCCCACTAGAAGAGAAGAAAGGCTCCGGGTGCAAAAAAGATCAACTGAGTAAAGTGTAAAGAACACTGTGAAGTGCAATGAATCTAATGAGTTCTTCAGCTGGATATGGGTCTCAGAGGGTACCGTGTCAAGGCACTGTCGATTTCAGCTGCATTATCACCCCCCCACCCTCCCCGACACACACACATTTCTCTTGAACTTTTGTACCCGCCTTTCCTCTATCTGATCGCACGCCCTCTCTTCCTTTGCGTGCGCTCTGTGCTCCGGGGGATAACCGCCTACGTCAGCAAGGTGCAAGGGGGCGTCCGACCACGGCGTGGCCCGACCAGCCGAGCCGAGCCGAGCCGAGCCAGACGAGGGAAGGGCCGATTGGTTACAGCAAGCCGGTCTGCTTCTCGGAATGAAGGAGCCTCTGCTCCTCTGCGCCGCCGGCACGAGGGCGGGACAGGACGGGACAGCATGACAGGGAAGTCAGTGACGTCACGCGGCACGTCAGCAGAGCGGAACGTCCACAGTCGTGTCCAGCCGCGGAGGATGGGCTGCACGTCCCGCCGTGCGCACGTTCACGTACGTGCTAGGGTGCGTGCAGCAGAGGGTGCGTCCAGCGGGTATGTCCGCGGATCCGAACCGCGCCGGAACCAGAAGCAACATGGCAACCAGCGCGTTCAGCTCACCGCGCGAGACAAAGAGAGAGAGGGCGGGTAAGAGAGACAGAGAGAAGTTGCAACTAAGGTGTCCGCCGCTGAACGCGTGCCTCAAGGTAAAGCGCTGCTGATTGGCGCTTAAAGGCTATCGATACATTCTATTTCCGCTCTAGCTGGACTGGGCAGGCGGGGCCGGGCTGCGAAGGCGCTCCATGAAACGAGCATTCTATTGCTCCTACGCGCAATTATTTGCCAAGTGGTTGTTTCTCCCGGGCGTGTAAATTATAATACCACCGGCGGAGCGATCCGCGCGGCGTTCAAAACTTTTGAACGCCGCAAAAAAGCTTCCGCGGGGGTAGTGTGTAAAAGTGTGGGCCTCCTCTCCTCGCCTTCAAGGGCGCACCGCTGTTTTGGCCGCGTACAATAGTTGCGCTGGGGGGGCGGGGGGGGGGGTCAATGTCAATGCCACGAGCCCGATCGAGCCAATTCAATAAATCGTGCCGAGGTGTCGGTCCTGGTCCTGCCGGGTCCTGCCCGGCTCTGCAAGCTCACCACCTGCTAATAGTTATAACCTCTTCCGTGTGTGGAAGTGCCGGACAGCGCCGCCGCGCCGTATCGAAATAGTGCCGAGCGAACGGCGAAGGGTTCGAGCCTTTCGACTTTCACTTATACATACACCAGATGAGCCAACGATTATTTTCTAACGGTTTAGTGTTGCTTTACGGAAAACCACGGTACGCCCACTTTCTACTACACCGACGTTTTTCCCTGCGGGGGAAGTCCCAAGGCTATACACCCATGCGTAAACTAGCCGTCGGTTTCCTTCCACTCATTCCGACTCTACCTCGAAAAACGATCACATAGTTAGCAGGACCCGGGGGGCGTTGATGGACCGAAACGACAGTCAACGTAATCGCGTGCGTAGTACGCACCGCACCCGCACCCGCCTTCTCGGAAGACGAATATCTGTCGCCAAAACACAAACGCGCCCCGCGCCGCGTTGGGGGTTGGGGGAGGTTTCCAGAAAACGTGCTCGGCGACGTCAGAGAGGGTGTCTCTGTACGAGAATGCGACTGTTGATGCGTAATGTGTTCATGTGTGTAATCGGAGCTTCTCGCGAGCCGGCTCCAAGACTACTCATCACGGACAACAATTCCGCCTCATCAGTCCGCGGCCGCCGAACAAAGTGTGTTTAATTTTCGGAATTCCTTAATTGGCCTTGAAGTTGATACCATTTTCGACCGCCGATGATGCTCCCTCCTCATTCCGTTCCGAGATAGATTTCCTCTTATTCGGTTTTCCCGGCCGTCGCGCACGACAAAAAACAATGTAATAATACCGCGCTATACTTTTCGATCAGCCGCCTCGCGACAATTTGCCAACTCGGATGGGGGAGAGACAAGAAAGCAGGTGTGATTTATTATCGTGCGCTACGACGAAGGGCAAAACATTTTGCGTGACGCTGACGCGCACTTTGATACACATTTTTTTCCCCTGCGCCTGCACATCGATTATATTCTTATTATTATTCCTTTTTACTAGTCGCTCGACGTGGGCGAGCGACAGTTTTTCCTCCGCAGAAGAGCGCCGATCTGCCGCAGCCACCGCACCGGCGCGACCAATCCGAAAGAATACGCGATGGATTATCAGAGTGCGCGGTGCTTTGGAGAGCGACAAGAAGAGGCACCGGTCAAGCACGTCAAATCAGAGTGATCCCGGCCGTGCGGCCACTTAGAGCCGTGGAACCAACCGGCAATTTCTCCCATCATCCCATTGACTGGGCGCGGTGCGGGCGGCGCCCGGACCTGACTCCTCCCAGTGATCAAAAAGCCGACTTGAGCAGGTCTTTAGCGCCGAAACGGTCTCTTACGATCTGATAAACCGCGAACTGGGAGGAGGGCCGTGATGGTTCGGATGATGATGGTGATCTCCACAGCCGCGCGGCTGCAGCATCTCAAAAGCGCTGCTGAAACTAGAGCAGCCTGTGGGTGCGCCTTTTTATTACAATTATTTTCTTTTAATTTCGCAGAGGTGACCGTGCTGCAGCGACGACGGTGACGCCTACTGAGTGGACGCGTGTTGACCACAACTGAGAAGAGACCGGGCAGAGGCTGGTGCAGAGCTGCTCTGCTGCTGCAGCAGGCAGTGATGCGGCTCGCGAAGTGAGTCAGAGAGCCGCGGTCGCGTAGACGCGATTGTCTGGGCCTTTTTCTCGCTATTTACCCAGTTAATAGAGCCCCCCGTTCACACACACACGCGCACACACACACACACACACACACACGTGACGCGCAGGTGTCGGAGCGCGCGCTATAGTGCCCGGCCGTCACTAACCGGTACGGGGCCAACCCTCTGACGTCACACTCACACTCACGCACAACGCCGCGTGGGTCGTCTTTCCCCGGGCTTAGCTGACTCTCTTTCTCTGTCGCACCAACTAGGGCGAGCGCGCGTGCGACAAAGACAGGGGAGAAACCGTTTGCGCGCGCACGGGCGGGCGGTACGGGGTGGGCCGCCCGGTGGCTGTGACGTACGCGTCCGCGCCGGGTAATAAGCGACATGGCTCATTACTGGCCGATGCAGGGTGCCAGCCGGGCCGAGCGGGGCGGTCCCCGACCGCCACCACCGTGGACATGCGTGTGGTATTAAGGCCGGGAAGGACGCGAACGCGCGCACACGGGGCTTCCGTAACACGGCGGCGGCGGCGCGGTGTGGCCGCGGCCGGGGGGACATACCCGGGCGGCGCCGTGTGCTGCTATAGCCGAGTTGATTTGCAAATGAGCAGCCGGTCGCATGTCGATGAGGAGCGCCCCTCTCGCCGTCGAGGGGAGCAGCGTCATACCGAACCCGCCCCCCGCCGCCCACCCCACCGCGCCGCCCGTCCTGTGTCGCAGAACGCGAGGCTCGACGCCGCCGTCACGTCCCGCACTGACCCGCCTCAACCGACCCAATTCCGGCCGGGGGGGCCAAACTTCAAACTTGCCGCTCCCGACTCGCGCCCGCGGCTCCGCGGTGCCGCTGCCTGCACGCCACGTGGTGACATATACACATACACACACCATGTGCCCGGCCATGCAGCAGCAGCAGCCTCGGCAACGGCAACATGACAGGAGATCCGCGCAGGACAAAGCCCGATAAATCTCAGCCGAAAAAAAAATATAATGATGGAAATACACAAAACAACAACACATATAGCCTTCCAGCGTTACACTACCGACATCGTGTGAAAGTTTTGCTCGCGAAATTTTCATGGCTGCAGTCCCATCTCTGGCCGTCGCTTCCGGTTCCCTGGAGTTGGTTCATTGCTGG